GGTGGCTGTCTGGCAGTGTTACTGCCCACCATGTGGGAGACCTGGGTTCAAGTCCTACCTGAGCTGACTTAGGGTGGATGAGGTAACAAGAAGCAAATCTTGCAGTGGAAAGGAGCCATTGTGTTCTCTCCCCTTCCAGGTACCAAGGCCCTATATTTCCTTGTCATCTTGCATTTTGTGCCTTTTTATATTTCACAAATCCATATTGTTTGTGTTTTATGTTTTGTTAACCCTGTTTTTTGTCAGTGATTGTAAGTGCCTAACCTTTGTTGAATCCTGCCCCCTTGAGGCATTGTAGTGTCCACTATACCCTCTGATTTATGCCTGTTATGTTCCCAGTATTAAAAGGTATATGGTTAAATCCCCAATGGTGGTCTGGCTCTGCTCTATAGGGGGAGGAGAGTCCCTACACCTCCCACAGCACTTGTGAACCTGCTTTGATCTCTTCAATTGGAGAGGGGGTACCTCTTGGAGTACCACCTGGGTTACAAGGGCTATATAAGTTAAGGACTGCCCAGGAGGAGGGGCAGTGGCCATGATGAAAACTCAGAGAGAGAAGAACTGGACCTTCTCAAACTTCCTCTCTCTCTTGAAACTCATGATCAACGAACCTCCTGCCTCCAGAGGGAATCTCCACCTGCCTCTGGATGACATTCGTGAGTAAGCTACCTGAGATCTAACTAGATATATAGCTTGCAGTAACTCAGATGCGTGATCAAAGGCTATGCAGCCACCCTATTTGCTCAATGGGATTTCTCTAATATTGCTCTACCCTGTACCCTCTTCCAAACCTACTCCTTGTAATCAATAAAGTTCTCCTTTGTACCTAGCATGGGAGACTTATTGGGAGAGGGGCTAGATTATGCCTTGGAGTCCCCTTGGTTTGGCTAAGAGAGACCACTATTTGTGCTTCAGTCTTAGGGAAGCACCCCAAGTTCCTGAAGTGGGTCAAGTACCCATGAGGGCTACTAGGCCTGTGTTTCCCAGGGGGCACAGTGCCAGGATCAGGCCAGACCCTGGGTGGTGGCGGCACTACCCCCAGGCTAGTGGGCATGCTCCGGGAAGGGGGTTGGCTAGACGTGAGGCACTCAGAGCCTGGAAGGTGGTCGGGTGGCTCGGCCCAGGAGCACCCCCTACTGGCCTGCCATAGGGTTCTGCAATTTTGAAACCAGAAAAAAACCCAAATCATGGACAAAAAAATATAACATCTACTATAACTTATTTTAATTTTATTTAAAAATATTTTGTACCAATTTATGTGTTTATGAAGGGTATCTAGAGGTGACTGCATCATAGCTCAAAATACAGTCCTACCGTATGTTGTGTGTGGGCAATAAAGGGGTGTATGTGATGGGGTGTGATTGGGGAGTATGTGTATGTGGGGGGGTGGTTATGGTGGGTGGGTGTGGAGAGGTGTGGGGTATGTGGTTGGGGTGGAGATTGTGGGAGGGGTTGGGGTTATGGTGGGTGGGGCGGGAGAGAAAGAGAGAGATGGGGCCAGGCTGTTAGCTCTATCGCACATGGCTCTTGTGGACTGCATGAGAGCCTCATGCGATGCAGCCAGGCAGACCCTGTGCCCAGGCTCCATGCTCCCACCCCACTCTGCATCCCTGCCAGTCCCAGGGCACCTGTACAGGCTCCACACCCACCCTCCACCGCCATTTCCCTCTTTTCCCTCCCACACGCTTGCCTAATGCTCCTCCCACTGCCACCACTTCCTAAGGCCCCCCACACTGGTGGCACTTCCTGTGGCCACTGCCATTTCTCATGCTGCTTCCCATGGCCCCGCTGCACTTCTTCCCATGACTGCTGCTGCTTTCCCCACCACTCCCCATGCTGCTTCTCTCCCACCCTCCACCCCCACCCACTGCTTCCCACTCTGGCTCCAGTCCAGCTCAGCAAGCACCATGGGGCTCCCAGCTGCTGGGTGGTTCACAGAGGTTTCCCCCACTTCCTCTGTGCAATCTTATTTTACTTTCCAGTTGGACAGAGGGAGGCAAGGAACAGGTCCCAGGTCACAAGGCCAGAAGCCTCAGAGGCTCCCAGTTGGGGCTGTGGGTAGCAGGGGGATAGGAGGCTGGATGCAGCCAGGCAGGCCTTGCTGCTCAGCCACTGTGTCCTGCCACAGGCTTTCCTTGGGTCCTACTGCCGCTTTCTGCCTGTCATCTTTGACAGGCAGCCAGGGGCAGATCAAATTTAATTTTCTAAAATGTTTAGGAGCCCCATAGGTTGGATAGAATGGCCTTGTGGGCCGGATCTGGTGCATAGGCTGTATTTTGCCCACCTCTGTACTAGGCAAATGTAAAAAAGGAAGCTATTGCAGAAATGTTCAGGAGCTTGCCTCTCTGGATACCAGTAAGGGACCCCATCACCATAGCAGCTCGTGCAAATGACTTCTTGTCTGCTTCACCTGAAACTTAGCACATGTTTGGGTGCTCAAGAGATATTTTGGAATGGCTTTACTGTTGCATTCTATCCAGGCTGGCCCTGAGCATTCCAAGAAGGTGGGCCTATATAATTCTCCTTACGTAGGAGACCTTTTACACTGACATAAAGCAGAGCCATCTCACATGGCACAGCCCAGCATAACTTCACCCCGCCAGACTATCCCAAAGGGATCTGCATCACTGAAATTGGTGGGAGTTTTGCCACTGACATCAGAGGAAGTATAGTTGGTTCTTTAGCTATTAGGAAAGCCAGTTCCACAGAAATCAAGCCTTGATGTTGATGAGAAAACCGTGATCATTTTATGGGACTTTACCGAATTTACTTCCAGACATACAGAACAGCTAATTGCCATCCTTAGGCAAGCTTTCTACTGAGGAATGTCTCAGTGTACATACAGTAGTGTTGTTTCTACAGCACAACCTGTTTCAGACAAAGATTGAGCTTGTTATGTCTCCTGGTTAATAGCCAGCTTTGTGAATTCCAAAATGAGAGAAAGAAACATTTACACAACAACAAGTGTGAGACTCAGTGTAAAATTGTTTGAATTAATAAATCATAAATAGTTGAAGAGATTTTTCTTCTAAAGCTTTTCATGGGGTGTAGAGTAAATTCTGCTCATCTACATTTTCTAAATCTAGAGAAACTATATACTGCAATAAATCACTGAGTTTAAAGAATTATACCAGGGAGTAGGATTTGTCCCTTCTTTGTTTATAACACAAATGTGAATGAAATGTCCAGAACAAATCTAAGTAAGAAGTCAGGTTATTGTAGTGTGTATCAATGGGTAATCAAACAACTCAAGAGCTTTTATCAGCACACTCAAAACTGAGCAGTGCTTGGTGGTACTGAGGGAAGAATCTATTTTGAGCTGGACTTGGTATAATATTTACTTGTCTACAGTATTTGTACAATGTTCCCATTGCACAATTTGCACATAGAGTACAATAGTATTACAAACTCTGTGTATAACAATCCTCTACTTATAATAATTCCAACCAGATTTTTTTCATGATTATGATGCAGTAAAATAACTAACTCTATTAGAGCAAATGCCCTCTTAATGAACTTTTCTCTGGGTGGCACCGGAGTTCATTGTAATGATGAGGTAGCATGGCATATGACTGAGATATATGCTAAAGAAATAACAACAGTCGGAGTTCCATGCGTAATGGGGTTTTTTTGTCCCGTTAGCCAATAATAAGAATTTTATAGTGGGTGTTAGAGACATTGAGCTGTTTTTAACTTCTTAGCCTTGCATTATTACTCATTTACAGTTAACCTGCTGGTCCCTTTACAGATCCCTGTTCTGCCAGCAGTTCTGGAGCGTAGATACCACAATCCGTTGCTTCACACAAGCCAGGGATGCCTGCAGGACCAGGAAATCCAGGCTGCCCAGGAGGGCCGCTGTATCCAGGAGGGCCTGTTGGGCCTGGCTGGCCATCTTGGGCAGTAGCAGGATGTCCAGGAAACCCTAGAGAACAAGAATGAGATCAGGAAATGATATTAAAGGATGAGGGAAACTTGAAGGAGTTGAATCCTTCCTCCCCAAACCAGGGGAGGTTCTTCTTCTCACGCTGGTGTGAGGGAAGAGTCTCTGTTAGCACTGGTGGAGTTATACTTGTGTAAAACCAAAAGCTGAATCAGCTCATGGCATGGAGACATTCAGGAAAATCAACAAACTGGGAGGGTTAAAAGGGGCAGTGAGAAATTTAGCTGCTGACTCAGGGGGAATATTCATACCCTCTCCACGAGCCAATAACAGTGTTGGCTTCTCTGACCTGTCTGAACCTTCCTCCCCTCCCCATGTACACAATACATTCACATAAAACAAAGCTCCTTCACAGAACCCTGTTAAATCAGTACAAAGTATGGCTTCTCGTTCTATGCAAGCCAAAACCACAGTGCAAGCAGCTGAATACATTTAAAAAGTGTTGGGGAACATTGGGTTCTCTGCACAGTCTTGTACTAACAAGTCCTATTTTATTAATGCCCTGCTTCAAGGGGTGGAGAGCTGATTTTTTTCCTTATAAAAAAGTCAAGAGAAAACAGTTGCAAGGGATGCTCTGCTCCCTTTTTCTTGAATATTCCTAACAGCTATTCTCATGATATTACCAAGATCCTCACAATGTCATCATTAGCACTGGCTGCCATCAAAACCTTCACATTTTGCAGAAAGAGAGACAGAAACTAGCAAGTAGTAAACTTATACTTAGAACAAAAAAGTCTGTAGGGGATATTGTGAATAGCCTGAATAATGTTGCATATTTGCACTGAGGCTTGTAAACATTTTTCTGTACAAAACACAGTGATTCAAAAGGTTGCGTATCAACGGTTCATGGCTGAATCTAGGAACATCTTTGTGGTGAGAATAGAAAGAAGTAGAGTGCAAGGGAGTTTAAAAATCCTCTGATGATACATTTGGCCATCATTCATTACCTATAGACCCCGGAGGTCCATCTGGTCCAGGGAGCCCTTTACCCAGATCTCCTCTATCACCTTTCTGGCCTTTTTCTCCTATTTGGCAGAAAACATATAAAGAAATGAACATGAGACTTGCTTACAGAGGAGTATTCCTTATCAATCCATATAGAAACATTAGTTTCTCTACCTGGTTCCCCAACTTCTCCTTTAGCTCCAGGAAATCCAGTAGGTCCCCTGGAGCCAGGTTTCCCAGTAAGTCCAGGACGACCTGGTTTTCCCTGTTCAAATAAATATGAACAGCTTTAATTTGTAAATAGCCCAAGCAGTGTGCTTGACTTCATCATATTTGGGAAAACAAAAGAAACCAAGAAAAAACAGAAGGGGTAAGAAATGTATCATCAGAAGAAAGGAAACAAATGTCTTCAAAGTTTCATGCCAAAGTACATCAGAGTTTACCTGCCTTTTTTCCAGGTGGTCCTGCCATGCCAGGAAGTCCTGGGGGTCCAATTAGTGTCAGATTAGCAGTGGGACAAGCGCTGGCACATTTGTATCTGATACCTGCTGAATATTGGGCTATCTGAGCTATGATCACATTACGACACAGTTCATACATGTGCTCCTCAGGCATTCCTGGCCCCTAAGAGGAAAGTACTTATTTATAACACAAATAAAACTGATATCCTATTGAATAACACTCCAGGGAATTCATTATACTGTAACTCAGTAGTGCTCAACCTCTCATTTTCAGGACAGATCAAGCCTGCAAAGCAGCGTCATCCAGCCGTGGGGTCTCCATGGGTTCAGAAATTTGGCATGGTAAGAGTGTTAATTGCTCTCAGAGCTGTAGCAATTAATGCTGCCACCCTTCCTACACCATCAAATTTCTGGGCCTGTGGAGAGCTCTAAGGTCCAGATGATATGGCTCCACATCAGGGGTGGGCAATTATTTCAGGAGGAGGGCAGCTTACTGAGTTTTGGCAAGCCATCAAGGGCCGCAAGACAGGCAGTTGGGGCAAATAAATATTAATGTTCTAATTTTTTTAGGGTCCTCGTGGGCCAGATAGAATGGCTTGGCGAGCTGCAGCCAGGCTGCATTTTGCCCACCCCTGCTCCACATGCTGGTAGCACCAGCATGTCATCATCCTGTGGTAAGATCTGGCACGCAGGGTCACACTGTGGCCAGATCCAGTATGCTGGGTTGTGCCAGTGTGTGGGATAACACCCATGGTCTAACCTCACATGCCAATCCTGCACTGAATAAGGCCCATGGACAGACGCTGCTGTGGACTGGTCCCACGCCACCCATCTGGCCTGCCGGGCTGCTATAAATAAATATTCACCAAATAATTGGATGAACGGTATACAGCTTTTGGTTTGTTCAGAAACTGCTCAATTTGACTTTTTCCCCATGTGCAATGGGTCACCACAGTCATGTGGTATCTATTCAGGGCAAATTTTTAGGAAGGATAATAAGAAACAACCCTTGGCAAATGGTAAGCAACAAATATTGACTGGAAAAACATCCCTGTGTGCATCAAAAGTTGTTGACTTTTTTCTGGAAGGTTTAGACGGGGATGGACTGGCTGACCTCCTAATGTCCCTTCCCACCTCTTCTATGACTGTATTGTCTGCATCTATGGCTGTACAAAGAACAGGCATCAGTACATCAAGCCATTAGCACCAACGTTAACAAACGGAGAAGATGATGGAAGCAAACACCTATTTGTAGGAATCTAAACAAATCTCATTTTTCATCTTTAATTAAGCCAACATTTCAGGCCCAAAGTGATCCCCTCCTTATCAGAAAATGATCACTGCATCTTCATGGCATCAGATTTCATAATACTGTAAATTCTTGTTTGTTCAGCAGCTTACCTGAATGTAGACACCAACATTTCAGGCCGCTTGGCACTGGTGTTTGCTTCATCCCACTTCTAAAAAGTGTTCGGTTTTGTTGTTGTTGTTTTTAAATGGATCATATTGCTTCTGAACACATCAAATAGTAACAGCAGCAACCTTTGCATTAAGCTTTATTCAGAAATGCAGCCAAGGCTTTACAGACAATGAACAGACCATGAATTTGGGGACATGGAGATTATATAGGAATGTGATTCTTTTTTTTTTTTAAGTTGTGGGGAACCTTGCTTTACTTTTCGTACCTGCCGGCTTATTGGTATATGAATTTAGAGCTGGTTAAAAGTGCTGACAGCTTTAAACACTGAACTCCTCTCACGATCTAAAGAGCAGACCGAGTACTGGCACCAGCTGTGCTACCCCAGGAAGTGTGCACATATGTTAATAAGGAGCAGGGACTTTACAATGTAAGGGCTGATGTGTAGTAAGTGCTCAGATGCCTGTAACTACCCCAAGGTAAGTAAAAGCTAAACTGGGGCAATTTAGCTTTGTTTCATCCAAGCTGCCTTATTTTATTAGCTTTTACTTACCAGAGGCTCATTGCAGATGCATTAAAAGTGACCTTGCACCAGCTGTTCCATAGTAAGTCTCCATTCCCTGCTAACTCATTGGAAACTGAGCACCTGCCCAGGGTCAGCCTAAGAGTACAAAAGAGGGCTCAGAGGCAGCGCTTCTGTGTTTACTCCTAACTTTGCTGTGATCTTGTGATATGGTCTAGGGAGAGTCTTACAACTTCATTATGCCTCTGAGCTAACCTGAAGGACCATTTCTTTTAGTGAGTGAGCAGAGCAGTCTATGTGACTGTTTGATCTTTGGCCTCTCTGCAGAGTTTTTTTTCAGCAAAAACATTGAGCTGAAAGTAATTTGTGATTTGGCCACTAGGAAAACTGACCTCTGATAAACCAAAGCAAAGCAACAGCCACTAGAGAGCAAAACCTCCCTGGCCCTTCTGATCCAGGCTAGACTTGTTCTAGAGACAAAGATAATAGACTCTATTATGTCTGTCTCCTGTCCTGAGAGCAGGATAGTTCTTCTGGGATGGAAGATCTGAACAGACCGGCAGCTTTCTAAAGCATGACAGCTATATAAGCAGAAAAGTGGATGGGGGGGAATCCTGATCCTCACAAAATCAGGAAGAAAGGGAAAAAAAGAACACCAGAGCAGCAAGAACTGAAAAGGGAACCAGCATAGAAAAGAGAGGAGATAAAACATACCTCAGGCCCACGAGGCCCTGGAGATCCAGGGGGACCAATTATTCCATTCTCCCCCACAAAGCCTGGAAAACCTCTTGGACCAGGTAAACCAGGGACACCTCTTTGGCCTTCTGGACCAACCAGACCAGGAGATCCACATTCTCCTTGCTGTTAGTGGAAATTTGAAAGAAGAAAATGAACAAATGGGTATCTATTCCTCCACCTTCCTCCTTTTCCCTATCTACTCTTCTCCATTGTTCTGTCTGCTTACATGTATAACAAGCATGCCTGTGCTCATTCAGCACTGTATGTAGTGTTATAAGACAGTCATATTTAGAGTTTCTGATGAGCAGTTGTGAAACCTGGCATGTCAGGAAGCCAAGTGCCTTCCTTCTCCGCACATTGGAGGGGAAGTGCTTCAACTCAGAAAATTAATTTGCTTGTCCAGAGTATTGATAAGTGATCATCTCTGCTCACTACCTCCTGCTGTGTGATGTGTTTAATAATTTAGAGCAGCACATCCAGGAAAACTGAATGATCAGTTTTATATTGATGACCCATTCAATTACTAATCATTCAATTGATTAATATGCAGGGTGGTAGATCACTAAGAGGAGTTTTCCTGAATGGCTCATGCAGTTGTAACTCCACCTTGATTCCTGCTACATGACTTTCCTTTGGCTCTTTCGGGAAGGGTTTTCATAGGAAAAGGGCTCACTTCAAATCAAAATTCTCAAGTCTCACATGGGTAGAACCAAAGGGATATGGAGGGTACAGTTGCACCCTCCTTTTTGGACAATGCCACAAGAGCAATAGCCAGTAACTTGTAAGTCCCCAAAGTAGGTAATAATTCTCCCCACTCCTTTCACCTCCATGCTTAGCAAAATGTCCCCTCCCTGGCCCACTGCTGCCACTGTCCCTAGCTGGCCCAGGGGTGGAAGGAGCTCCATAGTCCCCCTTACCCCACTGTGTTTGGGCTACATGGGGAGCTAGGCTGCTTGGGGGGAAGCAGCAGCAGGGGGAGACATGTTCTCCCTCCCTGCTCCCCCCCTCCAGCTCCCCCCAGACCAAAAGCAAGCTCAGGGAGGGGAAACAACAGGGCTGTCCCCAGCTGAGCCTGGCTCCCCATGTGACCTGGCTAAAGGGAGAGGCAAGAGTGTCTCAGAAACCTTCCCCCACCTCTCACACCCTGTCCCTGGCTCAGCTGAGGCCAGTGACAGTTGTGGGCAGAAAAGAAAGGGAATGGGAGGAGAGGGAACATGCTGCTGAGCATGGAGGTTAAGGGATGAGATGGGTTATGGGGGAAGGAGCCTTAGCCAATCTGAGGACTTAAAAAAATCCCCAGCTGCTGTTCTTGCACCATGGTCTGCCTGCTCTTGTTGCTGGAACGGGGGGGAAGGAGGAGGATATGAGATTGGGGTATAGCCACTCCAGCCGTCTCGGTCGCTGTTCCCACAACTCCACTCTGCAAACTCTTGGATCCTCTCATCAGATCTTACCATATAAAACACCAGCCCCATTAATGAACTGATTACTCCCACTGCTTTATGTCCATTGTAGTCCAGCAGGCAAGCCACTTGCATGTTCATAGCACTGATATCACATAAGCAGGATGCAAGCTTTGGGGCTTTCTTCCCCCTCCCCCACCAACTCCAGAGCCAGGGCAAGTTTTGAATCTGGGATTTAAGCATCAAGAAGCTGATTCTGGTGAAGGTTTATGTTCTGTGTTGCACACACCAAGGAGCAAGCCCTTGACTTGGCACGCAGCATGAGTAACCAGATTCTCCTCAGTCTGTGGAGCAGCAGCCCTGAGGTGCAGTGGCTGTAATCGTTGAGCTCCAGTACCCCTAATGGCTGGCATGCTTCTCATAAGCAAATGAGGAATAACTTGTGGGCCATGCTAGCTGCAGTCCACAGCAAATATGTTATGTGCTGGAACACGGGGAGCCCCTGCAGAATACAACTCTGCTGCCCGTCTTGGAGGATGGAGCTCCTTTAATTCTGACTTCTCATTTCTGAGGCCAACCTGTTTCCTGTGAAGGAGCTTCCCTAACAATGGGAGTCAAACAAATAATTCCTCATGACTCATCACAGCTACAATGGGCATTAAAGCAAAAAGCACGACATACTTGGCCTTTGTCTCCCCTGTCCCCGGGATCACCCTGCAAATTGAAACAATAAAAAGTCAGCTCATTGGGGTTAGTATTTGCAAGGGTCTTGAGCACTGTAACAGGGGGCCTGCTCCGGGCCAATCTCACTGTGGCCCACCTACCTGTTTCTGGGCTAACCGCCCACGTTCTCACCCACCATGCTTTGTTGTTAATTAGTTAAATAGATGTAATTAAGCAGGAGGCTGACCATTTCCTGCCCCAATGCCAGGGGGCGCTATCTGCAGCTACTTTCCTCCCCTACACCGCAGCCCAAGCCTCGCAGGTGTCATCATAATCACCAGCCCCCACACTGGGCCCCAGAATCCTCCTGATTGAACCCCTCCTGGATTCTTCTCCTCAGGCGGTCTCATCCACCTTCATACTAGGCAGCATAGCTCCCTGAACTGCTTCCCCTTCAGGTGTGGTCCCCCCGGGACCATCAGCTTACTAGCCCTGGCCCACCTTCAGACTAGTTGGGACCCCAGGCCCTCAGCTCTTGGACGTTCCTCATGGTGGGCCCCTGGCCCTTCGACCCTTCCAGTCCTGGCCCCAGCATTGACCAGTCAGGGGAAGTGCAGACAGGCCTGAGTCTATGGCCTTTCTCTCTCTCCGGGGATCCACCCTCCAGGCCCTCCAAACAAGGGGTAACCCAACCACTTGTGGGGGGTAGGGGTTAAGGCACCCCAACCCACCTTTCAGCAGGGTGGTAACTGGTGTGGCATTTCCTGGGGGCTCCTGCACCACTGAGAGCCCCACCCGGGCACCCACTCCCAGCAGGGTGCAGTTTTAGGTCATGACCAGGACCAGGAACCTCCCAAACATCCCCTACCTCCAGGCAATGTTCTTGCCTCACCTCCAACAGCAGAACTGCCCCGTTTATATGGGCAGCCCCAGATCCAAAATGGCTGCCCTCATCAGGCACCTGGCAGCTGCCAGCTCCAGGCCCCCAAAGTGGCAGGCACATACAGTGCCCTGCCACAAGCACCATCTTAAATTTCCTAGGGCATGAGCTGTACCTGGGATCCAGCATCCCCAGTGTCTCCTTTTCTTCCAGTATCACCCTGTAAAGGAAGGAGTGCAAGACATAGCATTGTATATTTTGGATATACATGGATAGAAGGTATGATCTAGAGTCTAAATCACACTGTCTTTTTCCCTAGAACTGCCACTGCCTTGAAGAGTGGCCTAGGGCAGCATTTCTCAACCCATGAGTCATGACCCAAAAGAGGGTTGCAAGATTAGATGAAAGGGTCGCAAACAAACTTTAAAAATGGTCTCTCCTTTCAGTATGAAAAAACATAGGAAACTGTGGGTTTTCCCTTGCAGGCTGGCTGAGTTCCAGCCTGCGAGTGGCTGCTTGGGCCCCTCTGCCCCACACACACCAAACCCCTGCCCCACACACCAGTGGGCTGAGGCCTGGGGATGGGGGGCAGTGGATTGGGAGTGAGGGGCACCAGCAGAGCCAGGCAGCTGGTTTGTACTTAAACTATTTACTGGGTCAGGACTGGCCATTGATGTTTACAAATGGGTTCTGGTACAAAAAAGTTGGAGAACCACTGGCTTAGGGCAAGTCATAGACATTCTTTGTTATTTGTTTTCCTCATCTCTAAAATGGAGATTCATTTTTCAGTGGAGTGTAGGGAGCACACGTTATTTGGTAAAGTGAGGTCTATGGATGAAAAGCACCCCACACCCATATCCAACAAAGCCCCTTCACCCCATCCACAATTTTAGGATTCAATGGGCATGCCTACACAAGACATTTACTGCGGAGTTACCTAACTAGCTCTGCAGTAAATGTCTTGGTGTCTACATGTGCAGGGCTGTTAGGACAGAGTAAACTAATTGACTGTGCTGCAGATAGTGCTTGTAAGGTTTTTTTTTGTTTTTATTTTTGTTTTTACTCTGAATCAACACATGTTTAGATGTGGATGCAGCTGGCTTGGGGCATAAGGGAACTTCAGCGCAGGGACTGCCTGCCAGCTAGCCCCATACTGAAGCACCCGCATGGCCCAGCCAGCCCCTGTGTAGCAGGTTGAGCTAGGTCAGAGCAGCCCTGAGCTGGCAGGCTGATCTCCCAGACCCTCTGCCAGCTGAGGTTGCTCTGACCCAGCTCCATGTGCTATGGTCCCAGGTGCACATTCAAACTCCAGCATGGTATGCACATTAATTGCATGTGTAGATCTGCCCAAAGTTCAGACAATCCTCCTTGTCATCAAAAATAGCTCCTCTCATGATCCAGATCCACAAGAGTACAAGAGGGTACTTGAATGTGATAATAGATTTCCTTCTACCTTAAAGCAACAGTTCAGGCTTCCTGAGAATCCCCTATCCCTGCTCAGCCCAGGGAATATAGCACTGGGATGGTGCATAAATGCTGACCTGCTGTGTGGCAGCAGAAGCATTATTATTTTGGTGCATGAATCAGGTTTGAGGAATCTGAAAGAGTGCCTGAGTTCTCCCTCAGAGCCTGGGTGGTATGTCATACTTAGTTCTAAGTGTCACGACCTTACAAAACCCAAATGAAATCTCCTTTCACTGTAACACTCCAGAAAACCTTGTGTATTGTAAAACTCATCCATAAATCAGAGTGGTACACCAGTACCATTATGAAGCCATTTCTGTGCAACAGCATATTTATAGTTGCCTTTCTGAAAAATATACTTCAAAAGCAAATAAACCATACCTTTGGGCCTTGATCTCCAGTCTCACCTTGAGCCCCCTGTGGGAAAGACAGGCAACAAAATGAAATTATACCCAGGGAAGACTGAAGTAACCATTTGAGTTGCTCATTAGTAAGCTGGACTTTTACCTTTTGGCCTTTTATTCCTTTAGGACCGGGTTTACCTGGTATGCCAGGATCACCCATCGCACCTTTGGCTCCCTGCGTGGAAAAGAGACAGAGAATCTGTAACTGTTTTCCACAAATCCTGTTAAATTAGATTTCAATACCAGTTTTAGTTTTTTTCTTTTTTGTTGCTTTTTTAAACATTTAATTTGAATTTAGATGTTGGGCTCATTCATGATGTCATGGTCTTCACAAAGTCTCCTTGCTAGAACACATCTGGTAGGAAAAGAAAAAGTCTAGCAAATCTTCGAATGGAACAACACACTTATGGAAACAGTGAATTATCTTCAGCATAGAATAAACCTAAATGGTAAAATATGGTGACTGTTTGAAAACTATATTATCCTTGTACTTAAATTCATTTAACATGTGCACTGTGTTTGGTTTATTCCCAGATGTATTTAGAGTGCTGTTTACTTGGGAGTCTGATTCTTTAAGATACCTTTTTCTTGGTGCACTTGAGAAATTCCAGTCACCTGATAGGGCTCCCAGCTGCAGGAATGCATGGCTCACTCCCGAAGCTTGCTACTTGCTGGTGCAGGGGGAGCCCAGGATTGGTTGACAGATCCTACAGAACAACGGCCCCAGGTGCCATCCCTTTACCATAGGGCAGTGTCTGCAAGTGGGAAAATTATCTGCTTGTAGATCTATGCCTCAAGAATCCCCTGCAGGGGATTCTTGGGGTGCTCATTTCATGCTGTTGCACCCCAATCTGTGAAACCTGCACCCCAGCCCATGAAACCTGCACCCTGGGAATCCCCGGCAGGGGGATTCTCATGGCATGCAATAATCAGACAGACATCCTTCCCTATAAGGCATCAGACCCTTGACTATGTTTGGTTGTGCAAATAGTTTGGGGCACTTGGAGCATGAGAAGGGGCAGGGATATCTGTTCAGTCACAACTTATAAAAATATTTATGGCAACATAAGGGTAATGTCTGTTTGCACCCTAAGACTGTAGCTGGATTCTGAGACAGGTTAAAAAGTTTTCTTGCACTTTGAAGATAGCTCTTGTGTGGCTGCGTAAGAAGACTTCCTGCCACTCCCTCCACCTCTGCATGGCAGCTGGGAATAACAGCATTCTCCACTCCAAGCAACCCTGGATGACCAAGTTACCTCAAAGGCCTCTGGCCCCCTCCCACTCTTACCAACAAAGGTGAGTGATTTTCCCACATCACTCCATGGCCCAATACAGTTCTGTCCCCAGTGCAGTGATGGTCCTCTTAGACTCATCTTAGCCCAGGATGAACATCTTGTTCACAGAAGAATTTTGTCCTATGTGGTTTTCTGAAGGGCATAGCTCTTGGGAACACAGTCACCTCTTGCTATATCCCTTACCATGGAGCCTGATCTTCCTGGTGGTCCCTTGGGACCCTGCTCACCTTTGTTACCCTGTCAAGAGAGCCAAAAGCAAATTAAATCTCTGGGGTTTTTTTTCCTGAAGACAAATCACCAATAACACAGTCCCCATTTTAAGAAGGGGTGGAGAAGTTAAGAGAGGGTTCAGAGGACTGTGATAAAAATGATAAAGATGTTAGAAAGCAAGCTGTATGAGGAAAGGTTGAGAGAACTAGGTATGATTAGCTTGGAGAAAAGGCAATTAAGGAGGGGGATGTGATAGCTGTCTTCAAATATCTGAAAGACTGCCATAAGGGGGGAAGAGGGGGATAACTGTTCTTCGCTGCACAAGGTAGCATGTGAAGCAATGGCTTCAAAGTAGGTTTAGATTAAGTATCAGAGGGTGCATCTACACAAATTGCGTTACTGCGAAGTTGAAGCTGTGCTGTAAAGCATCACCATCTACACATGCACCCCTATTAGGTTG